CCCGGCCGTCACGGGCCCGGCCTGCTCCTTGCGCGCGGCGGCCCTGAGCGCGCCCGCGGCGGCGGCGGCGGGAGGCGGGGCGATGGGCACCACCGACACGGCCGGGTCCAGCGGCGGGGCGGCGGTCGCGGACTTGTCGGCGACGTACGTGGTCGTGCGGCGCGTCGAGGTCTGCAGGGATCATCCGGGGCTGCTGTTAGTACGCTTCCTGGCACAAAGGAAGGGCGCTGCCCATGTAGGCTGGGTGGTTGGGGCTTCGCAACTCACCACCGTCACAGAGGGTGTCACCCCGGGCAGGTACGTGCTGCTGATTAGGCACGCGTAGCATGGGGTCGCGGACAGGGTCGCGCAGTACGAGGTCCGGAGGGTCGACCCCTGGTCCGGGAGGGTTTTGGTGGCTGTTTGGGAGAGAGATGGCGGTTAGATGGGTGGTGCGCAAGAGGGTGGAGGTGACGAGGGTTATGGGAGAGGCGGAAAACTCACTGGTGCTGCCCTCGGGACAGATTTCGATCACTTCGACGACGTAGATAATCTCCACAGTGACAAACTTGTTGCACGACCCGTTGTCGTAGGGAATGGGGGTCAGTGGTGGCATGGTGCTAGGGATGCCAGTCGAGGGTCCCGTCGGCCATAAAGTTGGCGAGGTCCCGGTTGTGGTCGTCAAAGTCGTCGCGCTCCAGCCGTCCGTAGTGCCAGGCATGGAGGTAGACGGCGTCGGATCGATGTTGGTGCTGGGAGACGAGGGTCCTGTCGTTGTTGGCCCCGTCGGGGAGGTCGAATCCGTCGTCGTGGTCCTGGACAGGCCGTCCGTGAGCGGCGTGGAGAAGCCGTAGGGGCACGGCGTCGACATGGATCCCGACGTGTGCGTCCAGTCCATCGTGCTGCTGGGATGGTAGGTCGTTTCCGGGGTGGCGGTGGTGGAGGGAGCATCCGTGTCCGAGGTTTGGGTGGTCCAGGTGCTTGGGCTTGTCGTCAGCGTCGTCGTCGAAGTCAAGCTCGCTGTCGACGTGGTTGTCGATGTGCCGCTGCCGCCTGGCTCGGCATCCGAGCGGGAAGTGGCAGGCAGCCTGGTGGAGGTTGTGAGAGAAACAGGGGTGGTCGACGACCCATAGTGGGTTTCTGTTGAGACGGTCGATATAGCCCAGCTAGAATCGGTGCTTCCAGGCTGAGTGGAGCTAGTTGCCGTACCTCCGCTCGGGACTGGGGGCCGTGATAGTTCTGAAGTGGCTCCTGTGCTGGTAGTGGTTGTGCTTGTGGGTGTCGTCAGGCTAGAGGTGCTGGAAACTCCTCCAACAGAGCTAGAGGAGCTGTTCGTGCTGACAGTGCTGGAAGTGACCAGGGTGGTGACCAGCGCCGAAGTCAAAACTGTCGTCGACGACGAAACAATTGTCGAGGACAATATAGAGGTGGATGTTGTCACAAATGTAGCGGAGGATACAAGCGTGGACGATGAGACAACCGTGGAGGTCATGACCGACGTGCTGCTCACCAGGCTTGGGGTTGCAGACGTCCCAGTCGCCGAGGGCAGCTCAGAAGTGGCTGTAGACACTGTTGCGGAGCTTCCACTAGGGGTGGTGACTTCCGTAGCAGTGGATATAGACAGTGATGTCGAGGTTGACGTTGCGGTGGAAGTTGTTGGCAGGGTGCTTGATGCTGAGCTGCCAAGCGTCGATGTCATCTCACTCGTGGACTCAGCGGTAGTGAGAACAACACTGGTGGAACGCACCACGGTGGTTTGTGTGGACGTTCCTGTGGAGGTCGTGGTAGCTTTCGTAGTGCTGTTGGACCAGCTCTGGCGCTTGGACGTAGTAGAGTTGACGGGCACTACAGTCGGCACGGCTGTGCTCACCGTGATGTTGAAGGTTGACGTAAACGATGTCGCCGTCGTAACCAGAGAAGTCCCAGTACTCGTCCCAACCGATACGCTGGTGGAGGTAGTGAGGTTGACCGAAGTGCCTCCGGTGCCGGTGCTCAGGCTCGAGATGGAGCTTCCAGTGCTCGTGGAGTTGGGGAACGACGTAGTGATAGTGGTTGGGTCTGAGGACGGGGCGAGCGAGGTAGAGGAATCTCTAGGAACAGAAGTAGCAGGCGGTGAAGGGGTCACGATGATAGTTATCACCGACGTGACGATAGAGTTTGGATTGCGTGTGACCAGCGTCGTGATAGTCGAGCTGTACGGAGTAGTAGGAGTCGGAGAACCCACGGGGATGACGGTGGTCACCAAGCTGGTCGTGGATGATGTCGGATTCAGAGAGACAACGGTGGTGATGACCGACGTGATGGCCGAGACCGCGATCGTAGTCTGTGGCGCAGACGTGGTGTCCGACCCTGACACCGAATCCGTGTTTGAGACCGAAGAGCTTAACGAAGAGGGCGGTGCCGAAACAGGATAAGTGGTGATAATGAGTGTTGTGGACGACGAGGTCGGGTCGATGCTGATTATTGACGTGATGACCGATGTAACAGCCGAGACAGCGGGTCTCGTTGGGGTATTTGAAGGGAATATCGTCGTAAGGAATGTGCTGATGGAAGGGTTGGGGCCAGGGGATACCGTGGATGTGACCACGGAAGTCACGCCAGACGAAGGAATCGGCGACGTTTCAGCCGACGGCGCCACTGAGGACGGCCCCGTGCTAGAGTCGGTGCCTAGGCTTGATGGCCCTCCGGTTCCACCTGGCGTAGAGGCGCTCGCTGGCACTACTGTTGTGACGAGAGTTGTTGACGAGGACGTTGGGTTCACGGACACAATCGAGGTCAGAACAACAGTGATGACAGATGGGCCAGGCGGCCTTGTGTTCCCAGAGCTGGGCCCTGTAGGCAATATCGATGGGGTAGATGTGAGCAACGATACAGGGACACTGGTGGTGATCAGTGTCGTAGACGAAGACGTGGGATCGATGGAAACTATGGACGTGATCACAGACACCACGATCGAAATCAGCGGACTGCTGGCCGGAAGACTCGTCGTATCGGAAGGCAAGATTGACGTAGAGTTCAAGCCAAGGCCAGTCGACGACGTCGGTGAGATTGATGATGGAGACGAAGAATTGGCCACAGATGTCCCTGTCGGTATGGTTGGTGTTACTGTCAGCGATATCAGAGAGGTGATGATCGTAGACGACGACGAGGTTGGATCGATAGATATGACAGAGGTCACGACCAAGGTAGAGACAATGACAGAAGCCGGCGGCGGAGGAACAGTAGGGGTGAGGCTGGATATCAAGTCACTAGTTGATGTGGTAGTCGTAGTGCTGGACAAGGTCGTTGTCGTCGTTGTCGAGTTCAGGAAGCCCGTGGCTGACGTGGTGCCGTTCACAGGGATGCTGGTGTTGGTCGGCAAAGGAGGGGCGGTCGACGGGGATCCTGTGATAGGGGCGCTAGAGATAGAGAGGGTTGCTACGTCAGCGTTTGGGATAGCGCCACAGGGGTCTGCCATGATGGAGGAGAGACTGCGAAATACCTAGAGTTGGTAAACACGGCAGTGCCTGTAGACGAGGTCAGGCTGCTACTGAACCGGGTCGACGACGAGCCGCTCGTGGTGGACGAGCTCGTGGTGTTGGTCGCACAGGTGCCGTTGCCCACGACGCCGAACAGGCACTTGCACGAGGTGGTGCAGAGCGTGCCGTTTTGGCCGTTGGACGGCCCGCCGTCGCACTCCTCGCCGAAGGCGGGCTCCCAGACGCCGTTGCCGCAGCCGGCGGGGGTGGCGCCGTTGGTGATGACGTAGGCGACGCCCGAGGTGCCGTCGGCAAAGGTGCGGTTGCCCGTGCCCTTGGCGCCCTGGGCGATGACGAGGGGCTCGAAGCCGCCGGTGCCGTTCATGGGGTAGACGGAGAAGACCTCGTGCACGCTGCAGGACCAGTTGCTTAGGGCCGTGTCGTTGACGCCCCGCAGTGCGCTCGAGTTGGCCACCATGTGCGCGTCGTTGTAGCACTCGAGGTTCCCGCGCACCTCGAAGTGGCCCAGCCCCGACAGCTCCTCGACCGTCGCGCTCACCGAGTCCTGGTAGTAGCACGACAGGCAGTAGTACAGGCCCGTGCCGTTGCCCGCCGCCGCGAAGGACACGCCGCCCTCGATGAGCGACACCGCTCCCGGCTGGATCGGCGGCGACGTTGCGTGGTAGCCGGGATCCGTGCCGATGAGGATGATGTTGCCCGTCACGGCCGGGGACCAGGCAGCCTTGGTGTCATCAAGGAACTTGACTTGCTCCAGCGAGCCGCAGTTGGGGTCCGGAACAATGATGGCCTTGTACTTGGCAAAGTCCTCGGTTGTATAGGAGCGCCACTCGGCATCGCTGATGCTCACGGCTGTCGAAGGGGTCCCAAGGCATTAGCACTCCAAGCCCTGCAGTCTCGAAACAGCGCGGGTACGGTTGGGAATTCTCTCACGGTTGAGCCCCAGGCGTTCGGCCTGCTTCCACTCTTCATACTTCATGTCGCCATGGAACAACACTTGGGGCTGCACCAAGTGAGCTAGGCTGGAGAGCAGCCATAGGTTCGTGAGGGAGCGCATGTTTGCCGTCTCCTAGAAGGACGAGACAAGGCAGTAGAAAATAAACAGCGAGCGTCAGTGACGGCAGTGTAGACGACTGTGTCCCGCAGTCAGTATACGCTGGGGTGTCGTTCAAACGAGGGATGATGGTTGAACACCGGGAAGCACTGGGAGAAAGAGTCGTGTTGAGAATCTTTCCATGAGTGAAGGCCTGCTTTATAGCCCAGCTCGTGGCCAAAGAACGTTCAGTCTTCCCACATGTTTGGATTCGGCGCTCCCCGCATGAACTAGAGGCGATGGCGATAGACCATCCCTATCCGGGTCATGTCCGGAAAAAGCCCGTGAGAAGGTCTCGGGAAACCTTCTCAGCTCGTCACTGGATCACCAGGATCCCACTAATCAAATCCAGAGTCCAAGACCATAGACTTGCCCGAATTATGGTGATGCGTCACAAGAGTGACACTTGTTGGATCAAGTTAATGAAAGGTTCGAATCTCCAGGCGAGCCACACTAGTGGTGACACTTGGATGAGTCCTATGGATGAGCAGGTTAGAGGTAGGTAGATCAATGAGGAAGTTGGGTCTCTGGATCCTTTCCGCTCCCCTACCAGCCACCTCGAACAACAAGAGGTCGAATGCAAAAGGCGAGGCAAGAAGAGCCGGGGTTGAGCATGGAAATGATAGGAGTCAACTGAAGAGGCTACATGATCCGAATACCAGTCGGTTCACATATATGTGGCCTACCCTCTAAGGAATGCCTGCAGTCTAGAAGTCTGTCGAGACTATTCAAAACATGGGTACCAACGGGTAGGCATCGCTTGGCACAGAACTCGGGTCGTCGGTGATGTCCGCAGGGATATCTCCAGCATCGCGACGCCACCTTCGGCTATGAGAGCGCCTTTGTGGGCCGGCTCAGAGAGCAGGCTCGTGGTTTTGAAAAGCCGATACCCGGGCGGATGAGACAGGGTTGGTTATAAGCGGTCCCAACAGGGAATCAACTCCGTCCAGGTACTCAGCACAGTGGCGTCTGCAGTTATGCCAAAGAGGACCGTCGTCACACATGGACGAGGGGGAGATTACAGTCCAAGACAGGTCCGGGGATGGTCTGGCGCATCGTGGATCTGTCAGACTACCACTTGGCGTGCTGCCAGATGTCGCTGCCATCCAACGCCTTGTTACACCCAGTGGGTGCCCGCATAGGACGCACAGACATTTGGCATACGAGGTCAGAAACAGGCGCCATCGCTAATGCCGCAGTGGGAACAGCGACAAAATGGGGCATGGTTGGAGAGGTGTATGTTGATATGACGTTTCCGTTGTCACATGAGGCTGGGAGTGGTGCAACAAGGCCAGGCACTCAGGCACCATACGTAGTTTGGCTGGCTCGGCTATGGTTACTGCGAGATGAGAGCACACGCACAGCCAAGCATCTGGATGGAGAAGAAGAGAAGAAAACCATGCGGTCACGCACTAAACGATGCGACGGCCCAATCAGCATAGTCGATCTGAGACCCCGAGTCCTGGGAGTACAGATTCAGGGGAAGGTAGCCGGTGAGAATAGACATCGTCTCTCAAACTCGTGATGCCGTTCCAGATCGCGAATTTTCGAGCTAGCATCGATCGTGTTGGGCATTGCGCCAGGAGGTGTCCAGCGCGCGGGGCAAGTATTGTGTTGTGTCGTGGTGCAGGGATTCGGACCCTTGACAATACTCGACGGTGTCCATGGGCTGCGGAAAGGCAAAGGCAGCATGGTGCGTGGTGCGTGGTGCGTGGTCTTGCAGATGTCCAGAATCACGTGCGCGGGGTTGCGTTGGTGGCTGAGCTGAGCACAGAATGTGGCGCTGGTGTCAGCCTCATTCTCGATCCAACTGACATTGACGCCATTTGTCAATGATAAGCCACCGAACAGGTTGCACTTTTTTTCCTTTGACGTGCTGGAACTGAAGCCCGACTTACTGTGTGGTCTGATGGATACGATACAGCGACTCTAGGCGCACACCAGCTGAAAAGAAAAATCAAGACTGCCAAATGCTTTTCCCCACCCAAACTCTACAGCAAAAAACATCAAAACAAACTCGACCAATTCAATTGCCGTATGCCAAAGCACTATAACACGCCCAAAAAAGCAGAGATCCAGGCCATTACTAATTATTTTAATCTCAATTCAATTCCCTACTATCTAAACAATCTTTTAGTTGCTGGCTATTTTTTTTGGTGGTGTTAATTAACTTTGAAATGGGAGCACCTTTGTTGCGGTCTTGATTTTTTTTTTTTTCAGTGCGTGGCGCAGCACGGCGTGTCGCTGTCGATGTTCCCAAATTAGGCCCCCATCGAACCCCTGATCCCCACATCCAGCGCGACCCCTCAGGGGTGCACGGTTTTTTTTTATTGCGCCGCATCGACTGCGTGCGTGCTGCGTGCATAGCTGAGCATCCATGGCGGGCGGGCTGGCTGTCTAGATCATGACAAGTTGGCTTTAGCGGCGCGGCAGAGAAACATAGACAAAAAAAAAACCTAGAGTGACTCGCCAGGGCGTCTTTTATTGTTGATAGCTAGCTGCATTAGATCTGGCAGTGGCAGTTCCTGCTTACTCGACAAGGATCGATCCAGGGCTGCAAAAGGACAATACTAAACCATCCAATCGACTCATCCCATCGATAAGTCGCTGCCTGTAACCAGCCCAGGCAGATTGCCCCACAGCTTGGGTGGTGTCCGCGTCTGATTGAGCCTTCAGCCTTGTCCCGGCCTTGACGTCTTGCGTTTCTCGCCGGCCAAAAATAAAACATAGGACAAGAAACAAAAGAAAAAAAAATACGCGACAGCAAGGGATAATCCACCGAATCGCACCGTCTCAACCCTGCAACTGGCGCTTTCATCCCCCGCAGCGAAACAGGCGGAGCGAACCAGAAGCCACCGTCGAACACGAGACCTCGTCCCGCGCGACAATCAAGCCCGACACACCACACCCATCCACACACACACAATAACGCCCACACGCGCACAACCACAGACGCCATGTCGACGGCCACATCGGGTGGGCTGACCCGGCGCAGAGGAGGTGGAGGCGGCGGCGGTGGAGGGGCCGGCGGCGACGGCGAGAGCAGCAACGCCATGGACCGCTCCAACTCGTCAACCGACGTCCGCAAGGACACCGCCCCCGAGACCAGCTACGAGTCGGGCGAGAACGGCCACAAGATCGCCTTCGACCCGCGCGACATCAGCGAGAGCGCCGAGAGGAGCAAGCAGCCGAAGCTGACCCTGATGGAGGAGGTCCTGCTGCTGGGCCTGAAAGACAAGCAGGTATGGCCGCCCTCACTCGGAGACCAGAGATAGAGGCGTACGGTGCGGGCGACGACGCACTCGCGCGCGCATTGGCGACGGCGGCGACGACCACGACCACGACGACGCTGACATGGCAATCATTGATGCAACCCGCTGCGCAGGGCTACCTATCCTTCTGGAACGACAACATCTCGTACGCCCTCCGCGGCTGCATAGTCATCGAGCTGGCCTTCCGCGGCCGCATCAGCATGCAGAAGGACCCGGCCAGGAGGCGATTCCCCCTGGCAGATCGCGTCGTCGAGGTCGTCGACGACACCCTAACGGGCGAGGTGCTGCTGGACGAGGCCCTGAAGTTGATGAAGTCGAGCGAGAAGATGAGCGTCAGCGCCTGGATTGACCTCCTGAGCGGTGAGTAGCAAACATCCTTTCCCCCCCCCTCGACGTCACCCAATTCGATTCTGGAGATGCTGACGGATAGCCCGCTGCAATCTCCTCGCGGTAGGCGAGACTTGGAACCTGATGAAGATCGGGTACCAGCTCAAGCAGGTGCGCGAGAGGCTGGCCAAGGGCCTGGTGGACAAGGGCATCCTGCGGACCGAGAAGCGCAACTTCCTCCTCTTCGACATGGCGACGCACCCCGTCGTGGACAACGGCGCCAAGGAGGAGATCCGGCGCCGCGTCCGTAACGTGCTCACGCAGCGCACCGTCGTCCTCCCCCACTCGCAGTTCCTGCCCGAGAACCTCGAGTGGCGCTACGCCCGCACCATCGCCCTCGTCTGCGCGGCCTACGCCGCCAACGTGCTCGAGAACGCCCTCAGCACCCTCGGCCACGAGGCCCGCGAGCGTGCCTTTGCCCAGACCGACGAGCTGCTCGCCGAGTACAGCCAGTGGCCCTTTGGCAAGAAGGCCACCGCCATCGGCGCCAACATCCCACAGGTTATTCAGGAGGTAAGGCTAAATCTTGTCGTTTTTTTTTAAATTCCCCAAGCTCCCTGCGGCTCGCTGCATACATTATCAACTGCTAATCCCGTTTGCTTCTTTACCACAGGAGATTTCCAAGGGCAAGGATAAGGAGCTCCAGCTCGAAGTCGTCGCCGCATGCCTCAGCGTCTTCACCCGCCTCGACTCCCTCCTATAAATTCGACGCCGTTTCAATTCCTTTCCTGCCCCGCGCGCAGCCCTACATCCTGGTCCCCCGATCACCATTCACATAAACCGCATACCAGCCGACCACAGCCTGGATTCCCGACCCCCCACCGGATGGCAGCTCAGAACCTCGCACAAGGTTTGCCAGACTTTCCCCATCGAGCAGCAGCCAGCTACCATTTCTTCTTTCTTTATTTTGTAAATCCCGCCATTGCGAAGGGGATGTAACAACAAAACGAGGGTGGCAGAAGTGTCGGGAACGTACTCCACAAAAAGGAAACGGACACGTGGGCTCTGGGTCTGTGTCGCGGTCGAAGGTTCATGTGGTGCGGGTTCTCATGGGTTTTCCATCTTTTTATTCTCCCTTCCCCTTCCATGACACTGCCGGGAGAGTTTATGCGCTGGGAAAAATGAGCCTTTTGTTTTCCTTCCCTAGTCATCTAATCACGTTGGTTACCGAAATATGCGGTTGAAAGATTTCTAGCCCATACATACCAGTCCAAACGTCTACGATATTGTTTGGCACGAGCCGTTGGCTGGGTTGCTTTCATTTTTAATGACTTATTATTTTCCATGTCCGTTGTAAATGCTGAAACACCACACCGTCACCCTATGAATCGTAACTATGAAAAGAAGGAGCGCGCCCGCCCACCAACGCCACATATCAGGCCGAACCCAGCAACCGAGAACAAAACAAAAGGAACATCTGAGCAGACAATCGGTTAAGCGGAAAACCGCGCCATCAAGTAAAAGCGCTTGTGGAGCCCGTCCTGAGCACCACAAACCTCAACTTGAATGTGTTGTGTTGCCACGCCGAGGCCAAGCCAACATTTAACACGCGGGTCTGTCTGCTGGGAGACTCACTCCCCTCACTTGCGCTTGCCGCCACCCAAGCCTACACCCTCGAATCCGGGCCGGCTCTTCCTCCCGCCCTTGGTGGCCACACCCTTTTTCTTCTTGCCCGCCTTGCCTAGCATCTTCTCCTCGCGACGCTTGCGCAGGTTGTCCTCGCGCTTCTTCTGTCGCGCCTGCATGGCTTGCTCGACACCCTCCTTACGCGCCGCCCACTCACGCTCGCTCTTCTTCTTGGCTTGGTCTTTGCGCTTGACCGCCTTCTTGAGCATGGCCTCGTCGTCGCGCACCTTCTCCCCCTCGGCCCGGCGCCGGGCGGCTAGCCATGTCTCCTTCTCGAGCACCTCCTTGCGCTTGTCCTCGGGCATGCCCGCCACACGCTTCTTTTGCGCCTCGAGTTTCGCCAGGGCTGTCTTGGGATCAGACGGTCCCTTCTTTTTGCCTTTGGCGTCCTCTTTGACATAGCTCAGGTCGTGTGACATTTGCGCGCCGTCCCCAAACGCTATGCGACCAAACGCGAAGTTGGTCGCCACAGCATCGCTCGCATCGCTGCGGAGTGGGCTCATGAAACCACCTGGTGAGGTTCGTGCACTAACCAGCGCTTCTTCGCGTTTGCGGTCCTCCTCCTCTTTTGCCAACCGGCGGACTTCCTTCTTGTGCGCCTTACGCTGGGCCTGCTTCTGGCGCCGCGACTCGATGAGCTCCTGTCGTGTCTGGGGTGGCCGGCCATCGGTGCCATCCGCCTTCCGCGCCTTCCTGAGCTCCTCGATCCTTGCGGCCAGGCGCGCTTTGAATGCATCTGACGAGCTAGCGGGGAGCTTTGCGTGCTTTGGCTTCTCTGATGGGGTGGCTGATGCTATCGATGTTGCAACGCTGGCGGTCTCCAGCGAGCCCTTGTGTGCTGTCTGGTCATCGTCGAACACGGGTGATGTAGACTGGGATGATACTGATGGCGATTGCGACGGTACCTCGTGCTCCTTTGTCGATAGTCCGGGGATCTCCTCAGTCTCCATCTCGCTGTCAGGGGAAGCCTTCGAATCATCAACCTCGGTGGATGGCCTGAGCTCAGGGGAGGCCTCGAGAGGCGCAGATTCTGGTTGCGGTGCTGGGTTTGATACTGTTTCCCTGGATGTGGTGTCCTCTTCTTTGGATCCGTTGACCTTGGCAGACTTTTTCTCTTGCTTTTTCTGCTTTTTGAGCAGCTTCTTTTGCTCTTTGGCTGACAGAGTGGAAAGGGGCACGGAAGCGTCGGTCTCGGCGGGGGTAGCCTCTGACAAGGCAGTATCGGGCTTTTCGTCATCCTCATCCTCATCGGCAGTTTTCTGCTTTTTAAGTGGCTGCTCGAGCTCGATGCCTTCTAATTGAACACTGTCGTTGTCCGCTCCCTGGTCATCGCCGGCGCCGTCGGATCCGTCGTCGCGCTGCTCGAGCTCCTGCAGCTTCCGCTTGTTTCGAGCACGCTCCTCTAGGACCTCCATGGCGGTTCGGTTCTTTTCGCTGTCGGGGTCAAGCTTTCCAAGCTTGGCGGCCTTCTTCTCGGCCTTGGATTGCTTCGTCCTCTTCCATTGCTCCTGCAGCGGGGTAATCAAACATGTAAGCCCATGCCTTCTGAGTGTGATCCAAGGCGACGAGACGATGGCAGGCGGAAGTGCCGGGAAAGGCAGCGCAGAGCGGTGGCAGCGCAGGGGGCCAACGTACGTTTGTGCCCTCTCCGTAGTAGATCTGGGCGGGTATTAGCGATAGCAGACCATCAAAAGCCTTCGCAGACTCGCGGAGCCGCTCCTGTAAAGGGTCGTCAACACTACTGCTGCAGATTTCTACTCGGGAGCGCGCAAGCCTAGAGCCGTTATGAAGCGGGGCTGCCAACCTGCAAATCCGAGTCCGCCATCGCGCTCGAGCCCGTTCGCCTGGTGAGGACGATAGAAGAGCGTGCTCCGGTGGAGAGGCGACAATGTCGCCGACTCTGGTCGTGAGATGTCTCGCACAGGCACAGCCAGGCCAGGAAGCTTGGATGGAGGCGGTTGGATGGTGGTCGCGGCGGCAATGGTTGAGCTGGAGGTGATTGGGCAAGCTCTCCACTCCAGATTGTAGATTTTTTTTTTCTTGTGGAGGTCGCTTATCCCTGGACCAGACGCAACCTTGGCGTTCATGTTCTCCACTTCCTGCCGGGCGGTGTAAATTTGGGGGACTAACAATGGGTTCCCGTTCCTGCTCGACTCACCTGTGCCCCTCGTCAGGGAGGGACGGAAAAAAAAAGGACGACTTGGAGGTCCGGTGTAGGAGAGGGAGTTTCCTGCCTTGTGTAGTAGAAAATAGGATAAATTCCCCCTTCTGGCTGTCAGAGGGAGACCCTCAATGGGATTTTTTGCTTTCGTCCTTGCCCTTTCAATAAACCGTTTCTACCACCCCTAAACGTTCACGCACTCGCCTGCTGCCCCTCACTTGTCGACATCACCCCTGCCTGCCTTCAAGGTCGAGGATAGGAAAGACAAAGACAGAGAGATACGCAAAGCAGACATGGCTTCCACAACGGAACAGGCCGAGACGCCTCACCAGGCGTATGATGTAGGCGACATCCTTAAAATCTTACCAGAAACACCTCAGCTAACCAAGCACTCCTAGACCATTCTGACGTTGGACTTTGGCTCGCAAGTGACGCACCTCATCACCAGGCGGTTACGAGAGCTCAATGTAAGAGAGACCAGCTCTCGCTGCGTCTGATCCCGCCGTCCTGCATCGCGCACCTTCGGGATGCACGATGCTTACTTTGAATCTGTCTCTGCCAGGTCTACAGTGAGATGCTGCCATGCACCACCAAGCTGTCCGACTTGACCTGGAAGCCCAAGGGCATCATTCTGTCGGGCGGCCCCTACTCGGTCTACGACGCGGACGCGCCCCATGTCGACCCTGCCTTTTTTGACCTCGGCGTTCCCATCCTGGGCATCTGCTACGGCCTCCAGGAGATCGCCTGGAGGCTCAGCAAGGACAACGTCGTTGCCGGCGAGAAGAAGGAGTTTGGTTACGCTGTATGAGTCACTCGTTCCGTCCTCCCCGCTGCCCCCAAGATGTTTGGGACTTTTTCTCACACGCCCCCCTCTCGGCGGCCGCAACAGGACCTCACGCCGCAGCGCCATGGTGGCCACGTGGACCGCCTCTTCGAGGGCATCACCGACGGCGCGACGCAGGTCTGGATGAGCCACGGCGACAAACTGAGCCAGCCGCCCACCGGCTTCCATACCATCGCCACCACCAGCAACTCGCCCTTCGCCGCCGTCGCCCACGAGACCCAGCCCATCTATGGCGTCCAGTTCCACCCCGAGGTGACCCACACCCTGCGCGGCGGGGAGCTGCTGCGCAACTTTGCCGTCGGCATCTGCGGCGCCCGCCAGAACTGGAGCATGTCCAACTTTATCGGCCAAGAGATTGCCCGCATCCGCAAGCTCGTCGGCGAGAAGGGCCAGGTCATCGGCGCCGTCTCTGGCGGTGTCGACTCTACCGTGGCCGCCAAGCTGAGTACGCAGCAGGTCCCCCCCTGCAAGATGGAAACAGTTCTGGCCTCTTGCTAACCGTTTTCTTTCCACTTGGGCAGTGAAGGAGGCCATCGGCGACAGGTTCCACGCCGTGCTCGTCGACAACGGAGTCATGCGCCTGGACGAGTGCCAGCAGGTCAAGAAGACGCTCGCTGAGCACCTGGGCATCAACCTGACCATCGCGGACGCGTCGCAAAAGTTCCTTGCGGGCCTCAAGGGCGAGCTGGACCCGGAGAAGAAGCGCAAGTTCATCGGCAACACCTTCATCGACATCTTCGAGGAGGAGGCCGTCAAGATCGAGAAGGCGGCCGAGAACACGCCGCAGGCCGGCAAGGTCGAGTGGTTCCTGCAGGGAACGCTCTACCCGGACGTCATCGAGTCCATCTCCTTCAAGGGCCCGTCCGACACCATCAAGACGCACCATAACGTCGGCGGCCTCCCGAAACGCATGATGGAGGGCCAGGGCCTCCGGCTCATCGAGCCGCTGCGCGAGCTGTTCAAGGACGAGGTGCGCGCGCTCGGTCGCGAGATGGGTATCGACGAGGAGCTCGTCATGCGCCACCCCTTCCCCGGCCCGGGCATCGCCATCCGCATCCTCGGCGAGGTCACGCCCGAGCGCGTCGAGATGGCCCGCAAGGCCGACCACATCTTCATCGGCATGATCCGCGAGGCCGGCATCTACAACGACATGAGCCAGGCCTACGCCGCCCTCAGCTCCGACCGCGTCGTCGGCGTCATGGGCGACAAGCGCCAGGAGGGCTACATGGTGATCCTCCGCGCCGTCGTCACAAAGGACTTTATGACGGCTGAGGCCTACAAGTTCGACATGGACCTACTCATGAAGATCTCGACCCGCATCGTCAACGAGGTCGACGGCGTCAGCGCCGTCGTCTACAACACCACCAGCAAGCCCCCTGCGACCATTGAGCTGCAGTAGAGGGTGTGTGCGTGTGTGTGTATGTGTTGTTTGGATTCGAGAGGGAATGGGAGGGAAGGGATTTAGAAGGAAGGCTCGCGCGGGTGGGTTTTAGAGGTCGGCTTTTTGCGCATTGGAAAAGGAGGGGACACGAACTGGGCAAGGCAAGGTTATTGGGGGAAATCGGGGTTACGCTAGAGGTGCGATGTTTTTATCCGCGAGACTCAGTATGGCTTTGGCGAGCAATCCATAGCGCTGATCCATCACAGAATGCTCGATCACTGCGAGATGCTTCAGGGTCTTCAGCAACGATTGAATGCTCTCATGACACTAACAACAGCCCCATGCCTGGGATGCATGTGATGTTTTCCTCTACATGCGCCGTACGCCCCAAACCGATGATCCCAAACCCAAGAGTAGTCGTTTCAAAGTGGCCCATGCCATACGCTCAGGAAAATAGGGTCTGGTGAATTTGACGTGTGCAAAAGGCACCTGACACGAAGAAGGCCAAGGTGAGTCTAAAAGGCCGTGACGAATGTATAAAGTTCTGAAGAAGACTGCCAGAACATAAAAGCGCACCCGAGATGTGCAGGACGCCTTGTAATCGCCACCTGATGCTACAATACAACAATAGGGGTATACATGCGAACGGAGGGAACGGGATAATCTCAACCCTGGGACATACCCAGAAAGAAAGGCAAAAAAAAAAGTCTTCAAACCTTGTAAATGATACGAATAATGTCAGCGGTAGAGAAACCTAGCCAAGTTCATGTTCCGGCCCGACGATAAGCCAGGAGACAGGGGTTCGTCGTCCTCTTCGTCGCTATCGGGGATGATCTGGTCCTCGGTCCCTTGAGGTCGGTTCAGTGCGTCCACTTCGTCAAGGTCAACCCTGGGCAAGGGCACAAAGGATGGATTGACGGGCGGTGCTGCCGGCAGACTCCTCCGCGGACCGACGCGTCCAGATACCCTCCGTTTGCTCTGCCGCTCCTGTGCTTTCCCATCCGGCGACACAGCCAATGGGGCACTGACTTTCCGTCGGCCTATTGCGTTGGCGCCGATGCGCTGTAGTGGAGTGAGCATGGGCGTCCCTGAGGCCGAAGGCCCACGTTTCTTGAGCGCCGCTGCGGCCGATAGGCCGGCGCTACTAGCAACGCTCGAGGCGGGAGTTGGAAGTCCGAGAGTCATCTTGGTCGGTCGGTCGTCTGATGTCCCCACGATGCTGGATGATGGAGTCGGGAGTCCGAACGCCATCTTAGTTCCTCCATTTGTGGGGGCAGGGGCCCCTGGCGTATAGGCAAACTGATCCAGGGCCGCACGAATCTTACTCGAGTCGCCCTGGTCATTTTCGGTGTCCACAAGAGCTGCCTCCTTCTCGGCAGGTTCGGTTACAGGCCGGAAAGGGGAGCTGGCGAGGACCTCGATGTTGTCGCTGTCCAAACGCCTGATGGGCGTTCCTGTCACAACATCAGGGCTCATCGTCCCCTTTTCGGGACTGTCCATGAAGACCGGCATAGAATTTCTCGGCTTGGCAGATTGTGACGAATTGAACGATCCGAACTCGGGCAGACTGAGGAGAACATCGTCGATGGAGTCGTCCGACATCAGATACCCTGGAGCGCTCCTCCTCTTGAGCTTCTTTGGCGTCGTCGTTTTCTTCGTGAAAAACTTGCTCCGGCGCGAAGGGGAAGCACTAGCTGCACCGGCAGATGCATCATCGCCGCAGAGCCGCGCCTTCTTACGAGGAGACGGCGATGCGTCAACCAAGTCTGCGTCGTCTGATGTTCTGACGGGTGGTCCCGCAGTGCGCCGACGGTTTGCTGCAGACGGCGCTTCCATGCCAAGCAGGCTCGAAATAGGCTCGGTACGCCGACGGTTCAGTTGCGGCCCCGCCCGGTAAGGTCGCGGGATACCGGAAGGGGCGGCGTCCCTAGCCTCGTCGAGATAGGGTCGAGGCAGAGGGAACACACGCGGAACCAGCCCATGGTCCGTGAGAGCAGCTACCTGTTGAGGATCAACTGTGAAGCAGTTGGCGTCCATCTCGCCCATTGGGATTCGTTGGTGGCCTATGCTGAAGTACGTGTCGATGGGCTTCGACAGCGGTCTGCTCGGAGCCGGTGCTGGTGCTGTGGCGCCAAGACTCCGACGTCCTGAAGGCGCGACTGCTGCCGGCAGTATGATGCGCTCTTTTGTTATGGGATTGACGTCTCCAACCGCGATCGCCCGAGCCATCTCGGGATCAACCTTGCCGCCGATGAAGGGCATTTCCTCGACATCCAGCCCCGAGGTTGGTTCAGTAAGGAGGACGAGCTGCTTCTTCTCCGGGCAGTAGACTCGCTGGTGAAGGAAGGTGATCTCGGCCTGCTTGAAGGAAGCGAGGTAGTTCTCCGAGACGCGACGCTTGCCCTCAAACTGCATCACCTTGATGATCTTCTCCGGGGTCTTGTGCTTCCGGATCATCCGATAAGCCGTCTTCAGGCCCATGCCGCTGAGGCCATCCAGATAGTCACAGCCACTAAATATGGCCATCTGTCGGAACTCGGCGTCGGTCCATCCGGTGAGGGAGATCTCCCGGACGGAACAGAAGTCGCGGCGGTTTATTTCGATGCATTGGCCGTACTGGTCAAGTTTGGTGAGCAGGCGCTTGGCGCCAAATACGAGTAGGTCCGAATCCTCCGATATAATGCCGCTGACATAGCCGTGGCGCTCCAGGTAGACCATCTGGGCGTCGGCCTCATAAGGGGCTACGACATAGGGCAGGTCGGCCTTCTTGAGCTCCTCGATAAGATTGCGAGCCATCTCAGGGGTCACATCGATGGCCTTCTGGAACTCTTGGTAGGCTTGCGCAGGCTTACCAGCCTTGAGAAGCTCCATACCGGCCTTTTTGCTATCTTCGCGGCGCTTGGCACGTGAGGATTCGGTCATGGCCTTGCTAGGCAGAAAGTCCCCATCGAAAACCAGATAGGGGACTGCACCAAAATGCTTGACCATCCTCACCCGGTGCATGGCAAAGTCAACATATCTATGCGTGGAAGCAGTCAGTAATCCGTATCTGTAGAGCGTATTCTAGTCCTGACTAGGATGCGAGTGTGCAACTGACCTTCGCGTTGGCTTCCCCTGTGCCAGCTCCAAGGCGCAGGAGACGGCGCCGCGATGAAGCCATCCGTAGGCATCGACAGCCAACGTCTCGCCAGAGAATTTTTTCAGTTCCGTCTGTTTGTGGATCGACTTGAGCAAGGGAAGCAGGCCTAAAAAAGGGTTAGTGGTAAGCCAAACTGACGGCAGTTCCTGCTCTTGGGCTTACCGGAGATGCCCATCGTGGCGGCACCAGATGTGACCGCCGATATGAGGGGACTGGCAGATCACAAGTGGTGACAGGGACGGGCCAGTTGGTTTGTCGGTGCTAGAGGGCGAGGGCAGCCATCCGGAAAGATCTTGTTGCCGTCTGGATAGGTCGAGGGACTTCAATGTTGAGAGGCAAGGGTAGCGCTAGGCGTGTGGGCAGCAGCGGCTACTGTGGTACTTGCGGGGCAACGTAACGGCGAGCTTGCGCAGGTCAGAACGCGTCTGCCTCCTTGCAGAAAAACAAGCAGTTTCCCCGGTCGAGGTCACGGCACAGCAAGAAGAGGATAGCACAAGGGCAAGAGGAATGCTAGGACGGCAATGGGCGAACGGAAGCTAGGCGTAGTGGTGTTGCGGCGCGGGCGTTGGCCAGAGAAGCTCGGTTGGTGGTTTGTTCGATGCGGACGGTTGAGTGACGCGAATTGCATTCTGGGCGGCTGCCGACAAATTATTGAGCCACCCAAGATGGCGGGAAATCCACTTTAGCAATCGACAGGGCAGGTAAGAGCTGGAGGCTCCCGCTCCACAGTCAGTCGCGTCGCGGCTGGTGCCATTCCCCGGGCAACCTCCAAGGCCGGGAAGCGGATCCAGATGACTCTCACCCCTGGCTGCCAGCCACGAATGAGCAGGCATTGGATGGCCGTGACCCCACAGTCAGAACCGACCTTCCAGGCCCACATAGGCATCACGAGCCCCACCATCGAAAATGGGAAATTTTTTGTTAGCATATGGGATTTCTGCAGCGAAAAGAATCTTTGCAGCGAACAGCGGCGACCTTGCTGGATATCGATTATCAAGTAGCTATTGCAATCGCGTGACATCTCGAAGTGCTCCGCGTTAGACAGGACTGATCCCATCCACTTGGTTGCTCGTCTCAATCCGCCAACTCAGACCACACGCAGGCTCTCGGAAGTCATCTCGCCCGCCAAAATGGCCAAAACCCTGGAGAAGACTCGCAAGCAGATTTCCAAGAAGCGAAATGGGGTCATGGATAATCTGCACCAGAACTCCCGCAACGCCAAGCGGCTTCACAAGGCCCAGGTAAGGGACGACAGGCTTGAAAAGCTCGCCCAGGCCAGGAAGAAGGGTGACCAGCCTCTACGTATGTTCTTGAACATGTCATTGTCTATTCCCTAACTGCTGGCGAACATAAAAGCGCGAGCTGACACGGGAAATCTACAGTATCTCGGGTGACTTTTTTCAGGGATGCTGTCCAGGCGAGCAGTCTACCCAAGCCCCTTACAATGGAGGCCGTGCAAGATATCGTGAAGAAGTAAGGGTCCAATATCCGCACAGCCCTAGTGCGCGACAGCATCGCGCCTCCCTTGTCTCTCTCCTGTTTCTCGTGCTTACAGAGTTTCCGCCCTCCAGGTTTGTGCACCAGTACGATGAAGAGTACGCCGAGATCAAAAGCGCCCGCCGTCCTGGCAGGGGTGCCAGCTCCAGAGAGGAAGTACTCAAGGTGAACATGGTCACACTCGAGAAGGAGCATAAAAACGGCTTCTGTATGTCCTAACCCTTAACTCTCAACTACCGCATTTTATCCTTGCTTCGAAAGACAAGGATGAATGGCTGGACTGATACATGATCTCCTTGCAGATATGCCCGATCTCACAAGCGAGGAAAATCTTGCCGCGTTGGACAGGTGGGAGGGATCCTGGGCCTACCTCGCGAGCCTAGCGTGGGTCAAAGTGACTGCTGATGGCGAAACCAGGACAGCCAGTTTCCCTCCCATCTAAAGTGGGTGATGCCAGAACTGGCACTTGGCGGGCTAGACGAACTCGTATGTCACGAATGATACCCAACGGGCTAAGGCCTGATAAGAGAACTTGGAACAGATCTTTCTATTATCTCGTCGACTGTTTTGATCATCCCATTGTGAATATGAGCCCGAAGCCTGGCTGGAAATTTTTGCGTGCTTCATCACATCTATCAGTCAACCCACCGCAATAAGTTGCCACATACGACCATACCCACTGGAATATACGGGATCCCGTCCGCTCTCCCCTA